CCATCAGACATCCACTTTTTTTTTTTCTTTTTTTGTTTGTTTGTTGTTGTGGTTTAGGAACAGGAATCCAAACTTGTGCATCTCCCGGAACCGGAGAAGATCTCGTCTTTGTCCCACTTTAGGATCACGTGTTCGATACACGGTAAGGTCCGCTGGAAACAAATGGCCATTTTGACAAGAGGATTTTTAAAAATCTTTTTGTAAAGGTTAGGGTGAAGAAAAATGCCTTTTGTTACATCAACCGTTTCGTACAACAAACCCCCCCTCCCCAGTAATTACAAAAAAAGAGAAATAGAATAATGTATTTCAAAAAAATTTCCTCTACGATAACACTTAATTTTATTATTTTTGTATAATAGAGACTGAATGTACTTTATTTTTTTTTTACGAAAGCACCAGTTTTCTTATTGATATATTTAATGACTTGTTAAATTGTTCCTTTAGCCCTCCCACAAGTTATTTTCTTAAAAAAAAAAAAAAAAGCAACGAGAAAATAAAAACAAAGTTCCCAAACTTTTAGTTTTTTTTTTTTCCTTGCCCCTCTCATATTTAGAGTCCTGGAGCACGTGGACTTGAAAACAAATGAACAAAAATAAAGAAAAATATTTTTTTTAAAAAGAGGGCTTCCCTCTTTTTTGCACGCCACCCTCTAACAATCTCTTTAACAAACATGATTCCTCTACCAAGGCATTGCACATGGCTCAATCAACATACATCAAGTTCAAGAACAATACTTCCCATCAAAACAAGAAAGAAAACAACAAAACCTAATCTGCTCTTTATTATTTTAATCCTCAACTACGTTAGCATTTTTCTTTATAGTTGTGTTTGCGATTTCCTTTCCGTCCTTTCATGCTTGCGCGGGCTTACACTCCGGTAAATGAGCTCGGATCGGTGAATGTGATATGCTCCTTTGATTGTGCGATGTTTGCCATGCTTCAAAAAATAACTAGACTGCCACAGAGCTTATCTTGCAAATTAAAAAACAACAGGATATATCTATAAATATATATATGTGTATTATATATAAAGATGCTTGTGATTATCTAGTGAGCTGACACTACTTTTCCCCCTCCTCCTGACATAAAAATTTCACCATTCACTATAGCTTATATGAGAAAAAGAACCTGAATTCATGTTTGACAAATTGCATAATGGGAATATAGAGGCACTTCCATAGATTAGAAAAGAAAATCACTGTAGCCTTTAACGCCTTTCTTAGTGGAGCTATTCTGTGGGAAGCTGATGGGATCGGTTGGCGGTTGGTTGGCCAACTCTGGCGTTTCCTTGCAGCGAGGAACGTGGCGAGGCAGTCCAGTTATTTTTTATTTTGTTAAGATGGGCGATTTAGTTAAACTTGGATGACTGAATGAATTAGGCTTAATGTTTATTAATCTGATTCTACAAAGCATGATCGAAAGCATAAAGGCCTCATTAGATTGTCAATTTTTTGACTTCCCTTTGAATTGAGTCGTGCACGGGGGATGTGTTTAATACTGAGTGGTTAACCGTAGCTCGGATTTGAGATGATCTGTGCTCTAAAAGTGGGTTTTCATCCCTGTAACATGCCCACTGATTGGAAACACTAAGTGGTCTACTTATAAAAAACAAAATGCTTAAGGTTGGCTGGCATGATTGTTTTAGTGCAGTTTGATCTATAAGGGCTCTTTCATTCACAAAAACCGGGGGGAGTGCTGGTGCTCGTGTGTGTGCATGCGTTGGGGGAATGCCGTGACAATCAATTTATTTTATTACGTATGATCCTCCTGCTGCAGACCTTACAGGTCCCAGTTCAAATGAATCAGATATGTCACATTTTGTTTTTGCTCCGCAGTGTGGCTGCCTGCGCTCTTGGAGCCGGAGCCTTTCTGGGAGTGTAAACGACGGGGTAAACTTTCACGATACAAAAAACAAGAGCTGCTTCGGGTTTCATTTGCAGCAAACCTCCCTCCTTGTTTGTCTATCTTACGTATTTTACTTACTACCACTGGCAGCTGATGGATTTTTAAAAATTTTATTGTAAAAAGTATTACTTTTAACTTTCCGTGATTGTCAAAACTCCACCTAGCGGGCTTTCTGGCACTGAGAACAAGCTAATAACTATGTTAATAAAAAATGACATTTTTAATTTTTTTCCTTTTTTTTTTTTTGCTTGATGAGAAAATTAATACCACTCAGTGTTTGCAGCTGGAAGCAGGATTTAAACCAACTATATTCTGAAGTGTATTAGCATGCAATACCACTCGCAGCCATTAGGTGCTGGTGTCAAACGTCTCGGGCTTTAGCAAACTCAAAAGCAGCAACTGTTGTCGTTATCTGCATTCACTCCCAGTGTGATTGTCATTATTTTGAAAAAGATACTTTAATTTAATATCCCAGTGAGAATTTTTGGATTAAAAAGACGCCAGAAGACATTTGAATTGGCCATTCATGTTAAAATTTGGTTTCATGGTGATATTTTTGTAAGCATGTAACCTATAGGCCCTGGCCACACTATTCCAGATTGGTTAGGATAATTTTTTCCCTTAGTTTTGAGAAAAAAAAACTTTTCATTTTAATGAAAAGCAAATGTTCTGACAAAAATAATGAAATGCCAATGTAGTGCCACTAGGTGGCAATGAAGAGCGCATTAACATCAAAATATCAACAAAGAATATTCTGAGCATGACTAAACGTTTCTCAAAATTAGCTATTGCCTCCTACACTCACTCAATATTTAATAACCAAAGAAAGTGACTACTTTTTGTCAATATAGTCACCACCAATGACTGAAAAGTGATAAGATTTTTGTTTTCATTCAAACCCAAAAGTTAATATTTTTGTCTACACAAACCCAATTATGACTAAAACATTGACATATCTAAGCTTCATCACTGTGGGGGTCATCAACATTAACAACATATCAAAAATAGGGAGAAAAAAAACAATTTTAGTTCTGTTAAAAATTATTAAACCAGTTTTCTCGCACATGATCAAAGTTTAGCAGTGACATGATTAGGACTAGAACGTTCTTGGAGAAACTTTGGGGGACTGCCATGTGGCGGCCATTTTAAAATGTTGATTTGACAGCACTATATGTTGGGGTTCACTCTCAGCCACCACCGTACCAAATTTCAGCTCAACATGGAAAATAAATAAATAAATCAATGAGTTATAGTCTTTTTTCTTTTAAAACTATGGCGGCCATCTTGGATTTTTGATTTGGATTCAGTATGTGATGGAGAATGATCTCACCTAATTTTAGCTCTGTGTGTAAAAATGGCCGAGCTAAAGCCATTTAAATGTAGCATTGGTGGCCATCTTGAATGTTTTATTTGAATTAAGATTTTGTGGGCATGGCTCTTAGCTACCACCACACCAAATTTCAACTCAATATATTTTAAAATAGCCGAGTTATTTATTTGTAAATTATGTCACCATGGTAACTCAAAATGCCAATCAAAATAAAAGCACACATCACGGTGCCGAGCCAGTTGTTTTGATTTAAAATCTGTGGGGGTACACATTGTGATTCGGGCTGCATTAAAGTTGAATGAAAAACAAGATCCTTCTCAGGTGGATAATATCAGGTGGCTGCCTTTCTAGGCAGTCCCCGATAAAGAAATAGTCATGAAAAAAGAAAACAACTGTGAAAACGGATCCATTGCTGTTTTGGTTTCTGCAGCAAGCTAAATAAACTCCTAAAAACAGACATTTTAGGAAACATTTTCGTTTCCTAAAATGTCTGTATCTCAAGTCTGCACGGATTCACCAAAGTATGCTTTAGAAAAATGTCCATTTTGGAAAAACGTTTTTAAAAAATTTGGATTGTTTACACCCAACGCTGTGTGTGTGGATGAAAGTAAAAACACAGCAGAAAAATTCAGTTTTTAAAAACATGTGTAGTAGTGTGGACAGGGCCTAAATGAAGGCTGGACTAAAGTAATTGTTAAAATTGTGTCTGTTGTTCACTGGGATGCTTGAACAATACTAATTTTTCTTAAGACTACTTTGCACTTCTCGTATCTATCAGCTGCTTTTGTCAGAACTCCACACATGAGTGATACAAGTTTTCACATCTAAAAAAAAGCAAATAGGCGTATTTTCTACATTTTTACACGCACTTCTTATTCTGGGCTTAGCCAACGGGTCTGTGCACGCCACTTCAACATACCACTTCTTACCTCTTTAAGGTGCTGCCATTCAAATACAAAACAATTATTATAAAGTAGCACAAATGCAAAAGGACTAAATTTAAATAAGAAAAGACAAAAGGGACAAATATTCATCATTCAACGACATTACAAGAGGGTGAACCCATAGCTGCTGCCAACAGGGGCGAAAAGTGTCCAGAATCAAACGGTGATTGTGAGCGTCTAGTTGAGGGAGTTTACTGGGCTTATGGAGGAAAAAATAAAATAAAAATGAAGCTGAATAGTGAGGACTTTCTGAGTGAGGGGAGACAGGAAAGTGAGCAGTGATTGGCTAACCTGAACTCTGTTGGGACGAGGACACGAGAAGCTTCTTGTACCTTGATTTATTTCCTCTTTAGACCATTAGGCAGGCGTTGGTTACCTCATGCCTTGTGGGTAAATAGTGCACATCGTTAAAATTAGTGTTAACTGATTCTGCTTGTAGTGCAAGCTTAACTCAGGACATGTTTGGCATGGTCTCCTGCTTGTGTCTGGTAGTTGGAGGGATAGAAACGGGCCAGTTTGATTGGTTTTGGGTCGTGACAGTCATCGTGGGTTGTGGTTGTTACTGGAAACTGATCTCATCGTTGAAGTCTTTGTAGTGTGGACCTGCGTTAGCTGGACTGTTGATTTTCTTAGCCATTTGTTACACAATGCGTCCTTACAAAGCAAGAGAAGTACGGCCGCTTTCGCATCCTTTCGTTGCGCCGCTGCTGCGCTCTGCTGCTTCAGTGGTGTGAGGAGGCCCGTGCTCGCTGCAGTCCCCTTACCCTTCCATTCTCTTTGCCCATCTGTTCACCCCCCCCCCCCCCCCCTCAATCTTTGCTCAAACTGGGTCCTCCCTCTGACGGCGTGAAAAAGTCCAGAGTTCCACAAGAAGTGTCATGCGGCTGTTACATTTCCCGTTTGTGTTTCGTATCAGGTGAGAAGTACTGTCAGGGCTGGTCGGTGGGCTGGTTGGAGGACAGTTATCATGATCCTGTTGCAGGTTGTTTCTCTGTTCTTTTTCTCTCATTTCAGATTATAAAGAAAGAACTCTACTTGCTGGTTTGAACACAGATCTTGTCAGAGGAACCAAGACTGGAAGAGAGAAAGAGAAGAGAATGAGATGACCTTGGTCAGAACTAATCAAAAGAACATCAACATATGTATAAAACAAACTTGACAAAACACCCCAACATGTAGATGTCTCCAGTCTGTGATGGTAAATAATCAATCAATCAATCAATCAATCAATTAGTCCGTCCGTCCATCGCATCCATCCGTCTATCCGTCTGTCCGTCCATCATTGTGAGAGAGGTGGGGGACACCCTGGACAGGTCTCCAGTCCATCACAGGGACGCATAGAGACAAACAACCATTCAGTCTCTCTCTCACACCTAGGGACAATTTAGAGTTACCAATCAGTCTAACATGCATGTTTTTGGTCTGTGGGAGGAAACTGGAGTACCCGGAGAAAACCCACGCATGCACGGAGAGAACATGCAAACTCCACCCAGAAAGGCACCCGGCTGGGATTTGAACTGGCGACCTGTTTGCTGAGAGGCAGCAGCTCTACGAACTGTGCCGCCGGGGAAATTCATACTCTGCATTTTTCTCATCACACATGGAGCAGAGATCATCAGAGGTTCCCGGAGAACGGCTGTAGGGTTGAGGGCCTTGCTCAAGGGCCCACAGTGGGGCAAATGAGGGTTAAGCACCTTTTCACTCAAATTTCTTGTGCCAGTCTGGGTATTCAAACCAGCAACTTCCCAATCACAGGTTTAGCTTCTGTAACTTTTGTGCCACCACTCCATTTTTTTCTTCTTTTTTCCATCTCTCTCTCTCTCTCCCCCCTCCCTCCCTAAATATATAGACATCAGAGAAGTCGTATATGAAACATTCAAAGATGAGCTAAACGTCCTGCTTTGATGAATCTGTAAAAGTTCAGACAATTTGATGTGGGGTTCTGTTGAAAAGTTATGTATAATTAATATCTTACCTGGTGAAGACATTACTGACTAATGAGCTAACAGCTAGTCTGAACTTGGCTGAAACCAGGAATCACTGTCAATATTACAGCACACTGTTGCTTAAATATATTTTTGTGTCGTTTATATTTCATCCTGCTTCTTGCTGGCTCTCCAGCGCAGCGTTGTTCTTTTGGAACACGAGTCGTGATGATCTGAAGATCAAAACAAACTTGAATATCAACTCTTTCCTGTTGGTGTCTGAACGACCTGACGCTAATGTTTCTGTGGATTCTCAGTCATGCAGGACAAACTAAAATGGTAAATGGACTGTACTTATATATCACCTTTCTATCTTATCAACACATTCAAATCTCTTTACAACAATCTGTGCCTCGTTTACCCGTTCATCCAGCTCTATACTAGAGCTACACGAAGCTAAGTGAACAAATCATTCTAAAGAGACTAATCAGAGCTTTAGATCACGTTCAGACACCGATGGGACACACATCAGAGGCTATGAGGGGTTCAGTGTCTTGCCCAGGGACACTTTGGCATGTGACTGCTGGTGGATTCAAACCCACAACTCTTGCATTGGAGGAGGACTGCTCTAACCACTCAGCCACAGCCGCCCCAAGAAAGAAAAAGATCAAACAACTGGACGTTTTGTAGCTGAGACACGTAGAGTGAATGTTTCACCTGCACGAGGTCAGTGTTATTATCAATGCTCGGACTGATCCACATACTCGGGCTCTGCAGCCTTTACCATCAAAACAGCCATTTCTACACCTTCAATCACTACATTAAATGTGTGCAACAACCGATACAACTGTTATTTTCAACTGGTGGCTCATGGGCCACTTTAAGTTTGTTGGAGGAGACTTTCGTCAACGTTAAGGGTGACACTAACGCTTAAAATATCTAATGATTTCGAACATTTATTGATATTTTTACAACTTAAGACAAATTAAAAGACCAGATTCTTGTAAAGGGGGGAAATAGGTTTTTTTTTTTAAATAATAAAACAACTATGAACTGTAATTTTTTATTGTGGAAAAAATAAAGTACAGAAATAAAGCAAAAAGTTAAAGAGAGTACTTGCAAAAGAAATGACAGGAAAACGGCGAAAACTATTTTGTTGTTGTTTGTATATCAACCAATAAAATTCAGTTTTATGTTAGTGTTGGTCAAAGCATTTCAGAGCGGCTGCAGAGGGACCAAAGAGCTGCATGAGGCAGACCCCTGCACCCCCCCCCCCCCCACACACACACACTTCACTGGCATAAATGTGTAAAAATGCAACAATGACCATTCAGACTGCAGTTGCTTTGAAAAACATTGGATATGGATCCAGCTTGGCACCATATATACAAATGTCCTGGGCTGGATTTGAGAAATCAGATTTGTCGTGTTCAGACTGTCATAAAAAAATCTGATATGGGTCGAAATAGGAAAAAAAAAAAAGGACTTGGGTCCCATTTGTGTGCAGTAGCTTTAGATTAACACAAATCCATAAAGTTGGTGTAAAAGCTGGTACGTTAAACGTTCATTACATTTTTGAACAAACCCCCTCTTAAAAAGGCAGAACAATGCCTTTGTGTGCTGGCAGGCCATGCACACACAACATGATCCTGCAGAGCGGACCATATCTGCTCGGTGCTGTTCGACTCGTTCTTTAACTCAGAGCAAAGCGCCTCGAGTTCAGCTGAGCAGTAACTGGCTCGTCATGACCAAGTGGCAGCTAGGGTTTAGCAGTCTGGCACTCTCTGCCACTTGTGCCGCGCTCATGTCGGGTGTTTCCTGCTCAGCGGGAGCCGGGAGCAGAACCGGGTCACCGGCTGCCCCGCAGGATCTGACTCTGCGGACCAAAGTGCCAACATTCTAGAAGTCGAGCCTTGGAAACTCCTCTGCACCTCCAGGAGAGCAGCCTTTTGTTTTGTTTGACCCTAGCAGGTCGCATGAATTACCCCCCCCCCCCCCCCCCCAATCATCCTGCCCCTTTCAGCTCCCCTTGCTCCCCTGGGCACTGTCCCAGCATGCCGAGGGGCATTGTAAATTCTCCCTCCTTAGTTCCTCGGCCTCTCTCCTTCTGTGCGTGCTCTCTCAAACACACACAGTCCATCTATCTCTGGTGAACACTCCCACTAAATCCTTGGCAGCAGACAGTGACCACCCTCTTTTCTTTCCTGGACCCCTCTCGAGCAATCCCGTCTCAGATTCAAGATCAACTGGCTATGACATCATGTCTGGTTGCCGGGGGTAACGAGACAGCTGGGACATGACTTTCTATATGGACCGAAACTGCTCTGTTCCCTCCATTTCCTCTCTTCTTGTGGACTGTTGGGATCTTGTTTCCTCTCGGTCCTGGTTGTAGTACACCAAGTCTGCCACGAGAGGTCACGACGAGCCTGCTGCTGCTGGAAGTGAACTCCGGTCTCCACGTGGACACTTTGACAAAGTCTTCATTTGGTAGCCAACTTTTTCATAGACTTTTTGTGTCATTGCAAAGAGACACATGGTTTTTTCTTAAAAAGTAATAAAAACTCGTTTCACTGAGTGTAAAATATCTGAGCTTTAGTTTGGGGGTTCATTGGTGGTGTGCAGTTTTTCTTCAGTTAAAATTAGAAGAAAAAGAAAGATGTTAAAGTGAAGAAATGCGATTAAGAATGGTAAAAAAAACAAACGGCATGGCAGAGACGTAAAGCGAGACAAAACTACGTGCAGAAGAATAAGGGAGGGGGGATCCTCAGATGGTTTCCATGTGTCGAGCAGCGGAGCTGAGCCGAACCAGGCGGGTGTGGTTAGACCCTAATGAGAAAAGTACTGGCGGTAATGGAGGAGGCACATGGAGGAGGTGTAGAGTGGTGATGGGAAGAAACGATGGAGGGAAGCAGTGAAGACAGTGAAGCAGAAAAGCAGAGGATCGAGCGGAGAAGAAGGCATCCAGTCATGAGGGTATGCTGCATACGTGCCAAATAATCAAGCACATATGGTAACGCACACACGTACGGTAAAATACAGATGCACCAGTTGATTGTGGGTCGTGTGAGAGGAAACCCAGCAGCAGGTTTCAGGGAGCGGGGGAGTAAAATCCAACCTTTGGGTAAAAGGTTTTCTGAGTTCCACCAGTAATTACACGAGTTCACTCTTCGTTTTTCCACACAAGCTGTCGGTACGAGTTCTCACCTGTGTCTGCTGCGGGATGTTCAGAAAGTTGTTGTCCCGTGATCCGATGCCGACAAACCTGTTGGGAGCTGTGGCGCCTGGCGTGGAGTATGCTACAGAAACACACACACAGTCCATGTCAGCGATTACACTGGTAACTAAGACTGCACAGCTTAATGAATGAAAGTCACGAGAGGAGTTTCAGATCGTGTTCTCATGTCTAAGACTAGAGTGCAGTTCTCTTAACCAGTTTGTAACATGGAGACGGAGTGGGTCTTTGGCTCAACAATCACATGATCCAGTGGCGGGCACAGCTAACCAAAAAATGACCTTGTTAACTAAAAGGAACAGGACGTATTCTGCTACCTAAAAAATCAGCTTAGCTAATACTACATCGCTAAACAGGTAAAAAATTAGCAGAAGCTACCCACTAAGACGACTGTCCGCTACACGGAAAATTACTTCTGCTATCAGTTGTTAGCGGAACCGTTCCCACCTCTGAGACTGGACATATAGATCTCCTTGTGTTTTTCAAAAGGGCAGCTGATAATATCCAGATCACAGATGCTGCCATGTTGTATGTTTGGAACCAGAGTCTGTGCACTAGTTATTAATTACTACAACTAGTAATTCTGTTTGTTTTTCTTTTATATTGAATAACTTATTGCAGCTAAATGTAGTTAAGTAATAAATATTTAAACATACGTCAGCAGGATAAGAGCCACACGAATCAACCGAAGTCAACATTTGGAAAAATTATCTGAGGTGTATTAATTATTTTAGTCAGGAAAATGTTCTTTTAATTTACATTTACTTAAAACTAACAAAAGAAGGGGACACTTATTTAGCTTTGGCTTCCACTTCTCAGTTACATTTATGTATAGTTATAAAATGTTAAAAGATGTTAAGTGCGTGTGTTTTATGTGATAATATTAATTATGAATAAGTGAAAAGTGTTAGTGCAAGTTGTACCAATTCTAATCTGTTGTTTTCAGAGCTTTGATAAAGTTCCAGATTAGATGCAAGAGCAAGAATGTCTTTTGTAGGACTACGTGAAGGTTCCAACAACACCTGTCACTATAAAAGATGGGCAATCATGTAGTTGACTACGTGTCTGTACGTTTGTCTGGACATTTGTCTGTTAGCAAAATATTCCATGAACCATTCGACAGATTTTATTGAAACTCTCGGGAATAATGTACAACTAGAACTTATTGACTTTTGGAGCTAACTCAACACAGCTAACTGGCCATTTTGTACCATAGTGGATTAATGAAAAATAACAATGGCTGTATCCATCATTTTATGAGCTAACGCTTGATGTGGTATTAGCTGAGATTGATCTCCAACACTTATGCTGAGCACAAACTGTCACAAAATGTTCAAAATGTTGGTTATTAAAATGGCTTTCTTCAAGAAATACTACTCTTTAATGTATGTTTCCATTCATGTCCGATCTTACATTTACTACAGTGCTAGACCAAGTGTCCCCCTCTGTTCTTATGGCTGAGAACTGAAGCCAACAAGACCCAGTTTACAGAAGCTGCCATGTTGTATTTTTGGGACCAGCGTCTGTGCACTATTGATGGGGGGTTTAAATCCTGCCCATACCCACACACCATTATGGAGTTACATGATAATTCTTTAAAATATGAAATAAAAAACTACAGCTAATCATCACTAAACTTCATGTGGTGGGGATGCTGTACTTGCTCCAGCATATGAAAACCACGTGAGAAAAAGATCACTAAAACCACTTAGCATGCCGAGCCACCAGGTGGCAGTAAAAACAACGACCATTCTGACGGTTCTCCTAAAACAGTTCAAAACTATTGTTGCCTTTTCCGTTGTTGACATTGCTATTTCATCTCAATCATTAACCTTTCAGCACCAGAGCAAACCTTCTTGGTGACAGGATCGGGATAACACCAGATATATGCAAAAAAAAATAAAAAATCGTCAAATCAGCTCCATTTTTATCTAGTTAATATCAAACGCACAATTGAACGTAGAGTGTTTTTATACAATTCTTTCCCTTGAACACCATGATTAGACCTGTCACGATAAAAAAAATTGCTGGCCGATTAATTGTCTCAGAAATTATCGAGATAAACGATAATATTGTTTGAAATTTGACAATAATTAGTAATTATTATTATTAGTAATTATTGTCAAATTTAAGAGGAAATGTTTAATTTGTTTTGCATGTAGTACCTTTTTTCAACCACCGGATGGCAGTATAAGACTGTTTGAAACAAAGGATGGATAGTGAGAGAGCGAGCAGCGTGTCTTTAAGAAGAATGGGAGGGAGGCCCCATGATGCGTCATGGGCTGTCTCTCTTCAGTTTTCAAAATGGCGGACGCTTGGTGTGTGTGTGTTTTGATCTTTTTTAGCATAGCATTTTTCACACAAAGCTTTTAATAAAAAAGTCAGTAAACGAGTTCTCAGCTACTTTTTTCAGAGAAAAACAACTTTTTACAAGAAGGCACGGGTTTCAAACGTGAATTTTGGAGCTTCGACAAGATGGACGTTTTTTTTCCCCGAGGCTGGCCTGTTAGCTTAACTCGTAGCTTAGCTTCTCAGCTTAGTAGTAGAAACAGAGACACGATAAAGTTGATAAATGAAAATGAAGCCGATAATTTTCATTTATCATACGATTGATTTAATGTTTATTGCGACAGGCCTAACCATGATACACATTTTCGTTTTATAAAATGTTTGTAAAAATCTGTTTTTTTAATTTTTCTTCACCAAATGGGAGGGGCAAATGCAGCAGAGTCAGATTTTAATGAAAAATGTCCATTAGTTAATGTGAACAGATCCTCAGACTGCCTGAGAGGTTAAAAATCCAAGCCCTGAGGGATAAAGTTAACATTGTTCTTCCTATTATGGATTAATTTGAGCATGGACTTTGATGTTTTGAACCACTTTGGCCATGACTGCCTCAGAGGAGTCGACGGGGGACCAGCTTATCACCATCAAGCTGGTGGGCCCACTATGTGAGTGTGCTGCTTGTGGGACTAAGTTTGTTGTGGCTCCTCGGACTGAAGAAGTCCTTTGGATAAAGGACGAAACGTTTCAACAAACAAACAAACCGTTCAGATGACTTGACTGAACATTGTTGGATTTTTTTTTTAACCTGGATTACTGAGCATGAACTTTGATTGTTTTTCCTATTTTATTAATTTCTTCCAGCCCTTTGTGTATTTAGCTCCCTCTCTTATGCTTATGTTTCTCACATCATAAAGCATAGAATCACCTCATTAGACAGTGTGATATAATTAATAGCCCACCAGCTGATCCTCTGCTATAAAAATCTTGTGTTTTTGAAGCTCCAGACATTAGACATCATCTCCAGTTTTCTTTTGTTTGATCCTAAAGGGCAAACTTTACAGGATTGTGGACACAAAGTCAACAGTTATTAGCAAACATCTGTAACTCATCAGCACAACACTCAGTCCTTCACTTCATGGTTCTCCTCGCTCCACAAATTCATTTCTCTCTGAAGGCCTATATTTTCCCCAATTTTTGGCCAGCTTTGGTCTCCCTGACACCCATCAGAATAATTATGAGCCTGTGGTCTTTAGTACAAGTGCGTGGTTGTATTTTTGATCTTTTTTCAGCACAAGATTTTGATGTGGAGCCATATTTTTTCTGCTCTGCTTTAGTCACTCTGTTATACCAAAACACCGGTAAGATGTGTTAAGGCATACAAAACTCTAACAATATGTCACTTCATGGTGAAATGTACTGTACAAGAACTTAAAAAAACAATGCTTTTCTAAACCTAGGCCGTCTGCTCAGATACTGAACTAGTCATACTATGTCCTGATGCATGCTCAATAATCCAGGTAGAAAAATCTAAAAAAAAGTGAAATCTGATCCTCTGGACATTCAAAAAACAAAACAACAAAAAAAATGTAGAAACGTTTCGTCTTTCATCCGAGAGACTTCCTCAGTCTGAGGTGCTGTATTCAGCTCAGTCTCTTAAATAGCACCTTCTCAGAGTGGATCAACCAGTTTGCTGCTGACAACCAAAACCAGCTGATCACATGCTCAAGAAGGACCATCAGCCTAACAATGGATCATTAGCACCTGATGGTTGTTTACTGTTCACAGAGGGCTGAGTGATACTAGCAATCACAGCATTGTAAGAGGGGGACAGTTGAACACGGAGGCCTCCACCCCTGTTTAATGATGGACGGTTTATTTTCACAAAGATGGCCTCCTTTACTCCTCTCTCAAACCATCGTTCCTCTCTGTCCAGGATGTGAACATCTTCATTCATACTATGCTACTAAGAATCTCCACATATAAAGTTTCTCCCTAAACTCTTTCCTCTCATTCCATTTAGAATTTCCTTTCAGGTATTAAACATTTCAGTGCATGCCTAAAGTTTAAAGTCAGTAGGATCATATGTGGCATGGAGGCTGCACAGCTGCAGAAAGAAAAGATTTGCAGAGAGTGGTGAAGGCTGCACAGAAGTCTGTTGGAGTCAGCCTCCCCACCATCACAGACATCTACACCTCCAGATGCAGGAAGAGGGCCACCTGCATCATGAAGGACCCCACTCACCCAGCACACACACTTTTTGCCCCGCTCCCGTCAGGAAGGAGGTTGAGGAGCATTAAGTGTAGAACCACTAGACTGAGGAACAGCTTCTACCCTGAGGCTGTTAGACTCATGAATCTCTAACTAGAATAATCACTGAGAAAAATCACATCATGTTGCTGCTGATCTGTTTCATGTTGCTGCTGATCTGTTTCATGTTGATGTGTTCATGCGTGCTCACCTGCTGACACAGACTCGTGCTCATGTTAATGCTGCTGTTCTATATAATGTTTTTATACTACTAGTGCTTAGTGTATTTTAGTTTATGTTTTTCTTAGTTCATATCTTAGATGTTATTACTGTTTTTCTTATACATTTTATTGTTGGATGTAACTGGGACCCTGTGTACATAATTTCACTCCACCACATGTAGCACATGAGGTGCGAATGACAAAGAATCTCTGACTCTGATCAGGTTGAAAAAATAAAATTAAATGGTTTCTTTGCTGTTTTGGTTTCTAGCGCACATGTTCGAAATAAGTTTCTACAAGCTTCTTATTTGGAGTTCTCACGGGTCCACCAAACACAGAGATTTTTAAAATCTTTACTTTGGAAGGCATTAAAATAAAAAATAAAAAATCTATTTTTTCCACTAAAACCTTTGTTTGTGTGTGGTCGAGAGGTTCGAATGCAGCAGACATCTTTTGGACTCTAGTCCTTGTCAAATGTTTCTACACTACTGTGCAATTCACTAAGACACAAGTTATACAGTATTTCAACCGGCATTTTATTTAAAAAAATCCTATTTATAGAAAATTGAAGCCAACCAGGTTATTTTATTATAACTTCATGATTTTAAATGAGAGAGTTGCATCAGTAATTACCTAATTAAACCTCAGGATTAAGTAAAAGTGAATAAACACTAAACTAAAAGACACTTGCAGTCATCTGATTGAGGTCAATAAAACACTTTAAAAATATTTTCCAAAATCTAATATGCAAACTCTAATTTCCCAAAGTGCTTAAATCCAGTTGATTAACTCTGATTTTAGAGTTTGAGCACACCAGGCTCGTGACACCAAGTGTCAGTCAGGGACATTCAAAACCCAGTGGCATCAACATTTCTGACAAATTTAGGGCAGTTTGAGGTACCCCGCGGACTCCACAGTTTGTATCCCCCTGACGGGTTCAAGGAAGCAGTGTGCAGACTGGTGTGGTCTGTTTGTGTGGAGGAAAGGGAGGAAGGACAGTAATGAGAGACACAGGAAGGAAGGTACAGCATACATCATTATTTCTAAGAACTCAAACATACAAAAGACATTAAAGACTTGCAGACGCTGACTGGGGAATAAAATGAAAACACTAACTTTGAAGGAGAGCTAATAATGAACAAAAAAATAAAGTGCTCCATCCAGTGCCCCTCAGGAGGACAAATCTACCTCTGACATCACTCCCTTGTCTTAAATGCACAGTCTATTCTGTCTTTTCACATTCAGCAAAGAAAACTATCCCAACATAGAGTTATAATCAACTAAAAAAAAATCACCAATGTCCCATTTTCTGCTTTGGAGTCCGTACAAATTAACTGCCCTAAATTTGTGCCTTAGTTAATGAGTGTCTGAAATCTCCTAAGGTTTGTTGATAAGTCCATCAGGGGAGGAAAACATTTCTTTCGAAAAATAAGATGCATCCTCCGTAGCACAACACGTAGAGTGGTTTCAACACATGGAGCCACTAAAACTCAAGGGGCCTAATAAAGAACCATGCTGAGTGCCACAGGGATCCAAAATGACAGACTGTCAAACTTCTGGGAGGCTAGAGTAAATGTTATGTGCTCCACTTAAATTTTTTTTTTTGCTGGTTTCCGGGAAGGAAAGGGAAGTGAATGTTTGATGATACGAAGTTGTAGGAAGAACAAATGACACAGGTCTTTGTTGCTTTTCTGGTGTTGGTTTTGTTTCTTAAAAACGGTCTCTGCGGGGTCACTTACACGGAGATGCGGGCGAGGAGAGTCCGCCGTCAGGGGGTGTGCTGTTGGGTTTAGAGTCGGGCATGGGGAGGGGCACTGGGCGGGCCACTGGGGGAGGTGGAGGCAGCAAGAAGGAGCCTGGCATTTTGCTCTGGCCGCTCCCGTTTGGCTGCAGACAACACAAATAGGGTCAGGTGGGCGGCATGCGACAACCCGCAGACAAGGAATGGAAACAGGGCGCGGCTCGAAAGGCCGGGTCCAAATAAAACATGGCGACGGAGGAGAGGGGAGTGATGGTGGAAGGAGGTGGGAAACACCAACTGAAGAAATGAGGAATGCGGACAATATCTGTTCATGGAAGTCAAAATTAACAGGCACCACAAGAACTGACTGGACGTGGGACCTGGAGTGGGAAGGGAGGTTCCACAGAGGTGGTGTTGGGTGAAGAAGGTGTGGAGGGGGGAGGTATAAGAGATTTTTGTTTGACTGGGTTTATCCAGCAGATGGCAAGAAATTAAAACCATGGGAGAACACTCGTCTACACAATCACAACACAACCAACAAGGATACGAACCCCAGACAACCAAACTCCAACTAAAATCGGAAACTGCCGGAGATGGAAACAAACACGATGACAAAACACAAAACTGGTATGACTGGACCGAACGTGTGCCGTGACTGATTTACTCTTGTGCTGATGATTGTAACTTCTGAAGGGTTGGGTGGAGCAAAAAAAAAAAACAAAAAAAACAACAAGATAACAAAAAACAAACAAGGAGCGAGGAACATCAGGATCTGAAACAGGAAACGGCAAAGTGACATTGACAAGAAAGCACAAAGAATTCCAGACTGGCTGAATAAACACATGTCTCGTGTGCAATGTGCTGGTGTCAGGTCTTTATAAAGTAGGTCTGGTGTGACATCAGGTTGAAATGATAATGCAATCAATGGAAAAAGACGAAAATCTATCCTCTTTTAATTCTAGGGTTTTAAACATTAGAACATTAAAAAAATGTTTTAACCAGATTCTAATAGTATTTAAATCTAATCTCTAGTGTGCATAAAAAAGAAACACAACAGATTCCATGATGTCTTTATCATTGAACAAAGATTAGGCTAAAAGGGAAAAGCTGTGCGTGAAGTCCACACCTGCTGCTTATAGGATTAAATAAAGAAAGGTATCAGCCAGGTGCTGCTGATCAAATGTACTGATTAACTGATCATCATCTACGGGATTCCCTCTATAAAAGCTAAAGGCTGTTTGTTGGTCTGGGACATACAGGTGTGTGTTAACACAACGGCAAAGAGAAAAAAAACATCAACAACGACCTTCGATAAGAAACGGTTGCTGCCCATAAATCTGAAAAGGATTAACTGTCATTTACAAACAAGCTGAAGTCCATCAATCTAGAGAGGAAGATCATTCACAAGTGGAAAACATTTAAGACAGCTGCCATTCTTCCCAGTAGTGGTTGCCCCAGTAAATCCCCAATGAGGTCAGACTGTGCAATGCTCAGCGGGTTAAAGGTTCAGCTTCATGACAGGACAAAAAGAAAAAGACTGAACAGGCTTGTTTGATTTGCAGGAGAAAGAATAACTCTAAAAAGGATGTGTTCAGTTTCATCTGAATGAACTACAAGACAGAGGAGCCCACAGCAAAGATGTTTACCAATAATGCACAGTGTAGAGCCCAACCGATATATCGGTGGGGGCCGATATAGGCATTTGGAGACATATGGGTATCGGTGATGATTGTCCCATCATGCTCTGATATAAGCACTTCTAATTTTCACCCCTAAAATGCTGGAACCAGCTGTAATTGTACAATGTATCCAGCAGAGGGCGCATGAACACTACTTTCAAGTCATGGCCGTTCACTTAAGTTTCACTTTCACATTCAGCACAGATGAAGCAGGGAACTATACTATGTAGTGTATTTTGCTGAACAGAGCATAATAAGTTTATTTTAACTGATCTGTAAAACAAATCAACAATAATAAACTCACTTCAATCCTCCAACCCGCTTATCATTAGCTACATGCCCCTCAAGTTAGCAAACTTTTAGATAACCTAGCATAGGCTATTGCCTTGTAAAACTTTATCCAGAACAAATCCAATGTAGAGATCAGAGTTAGTAATGTTATCTTTGTCATCTTCAGTTAAATGCATTGTCTGTCTAAAATCTTAACTTCTCTGCAAAAAAAAACGAACTCTGCTGAGGTCAATACTAATTAGACCTTCACCATACTTGACTGTGTGAACAATGAACAGAGAAGGGCGTTTCTTTGTTTAATTTATATTTATGTAACACACTTGATAACTTTATGGTGAATAGTGGAGGAAAGAAAATGTGAATGCACGTTAAGAAGACTGTTTTTGTGACCAGTGCACCACTTGTAAACCTGGTGTGGAACTACGTATAGCATAGATCAGATTAGCTTAGCATTATGGTTGCTAACAGCTGTGCTAAATAAACAAGCCCCTCTCCACACACTGTTTTCTTATATTCTTGGGGGTGGACAAAGCAAAAAAATTTCAGTCATTATATTGGCATTAGCCTTCCCCTCCCAATATCAGTGATAAACAAAATGTCCATATTGGCCGGGCTCTAGCACAGTGCCATGTTTGAAAAATCAAACACAGCACATCAGCACAAACACATAAAACCAATGGTAGGCACGGTGGTGGAAGGGTGATGATTTTGTTCTGCAGCCCCAGGATGTTGGGTAATCATTGAGATGACCATGAGCTCCTCTGTAGACCAAAGAACTCTAATAATAAATGCGAGACCATCTATCCAACAGCTGGAGCTTAAAGCAAACTGGGTCATAATGTAACAGAACAATGATCACAAATACTGCAGCTAATCTACAACAGAATGAATGAACAACAAAATAATGTGTTGCAACGATCCTGAGTCGAGACCTCAATCTGTTGCAGTGCTGTGGTGGGACCTTCAGAAAGATGTGTGGAAATAAATGTCAGCCAACCTAAAAGAACTGAAGCCATCATCGAGGCAAAGGGGCCAAAATGCCCCCATAAGGATGGAAGAGACGAAAAAGTCAGACAGAACAACTACTGCGAGTAATAGCTGCTAAAGGAGATTCTGCAAGTTGCTGAGTCGTGAGGTGGACTAAAGGGTCGGGGCATACTCCATCTGAAGCTGAACAGTCGACTCACCATATGTGACCGTGGGACGTTCGTTTTCACACACACCTTTCATAGTAACCATAACTTCACCACTTGCTCTTGCCGAGGTCAGATGCTTTTCCCCCTCCCTCTCCGCTTTGCTTTGCTGCTCTGTTTGTCTGTGAAACTGCTTCTGAGCCTCTTGCATATCTTCCAAACCATAATTATGAACTTGTTTTGATCAGTTGGTCCCTCAACACAATTGATAAAATTTCTTTGAAGAGAAGACAGGGTGAAGACGAGACGATTTGCCCTGTTGGCACGCACACAGCTGGATATGTCATCGACTTGGAAGACTTGATGATGTTATCTCTGCGGCCATTTGTGGATTTTAAGGATGCATATTTAATTGGATTTATGATAACTGGTTCCTGCTTTTTGGATTCGTCTGGTCACTGGTTTATCTACAATCAAAGAAGTCGTCGGCAGCAAATTGGGACCCGATCACGCTGCTTGCCTTTATGATGGCTTGGTTTGTGCCTCGAGTACCGGGACTCAAATACTTTGGGCAGAATGGATCAGATCTCAGAGATTTTACTCAGGCACGTTCTTTTGGTGTAGCCATGTAATTTGGACATTTCGGAACCCAAGTGGACCAACACAGACTCAAGGTAGACATCATTAAGTTCTGCTTGTCCCCAAAACAACTGTGTGTTCATCTGAATTTGGCTCCCCCGGCTGGCCTTGAAGGCCATCTTATCTGAATTCGCCTGGAGCACATGTGATCTGACGCTCTGCCCCCACAATCGAGGAATTTCAAACTGATAACCAGAGGAAACCAGCTGAATAATCATTGTGTCATAATTTCAGGACTCTTGGATTCCCATAGGTGTTGTCCTTGGCCATTCCCCCACATCCCTCGAGAATGCTTACGGATCTCACCGGAGGGAATTGGTTGACTATTACATCCTTATCAGAACTCTTACAGTGTCCTCGAGTGCATCCTTGAACATTGCTCACCGCTCTCGTCGTCTCCCCCCTCTGCAGAATGTCTGTCACTATGTGCTTTATGTGCGATGTATTTTTTTTTTATTATTAGAGCTTTTCTTCTCAGTCAAGAAGAACAAGTTTAATAGGATTTTTTTTTTTGCCTCCAATTCCTACGTGTTCCAGTTTCACTACTTTTTGTCTGTCTAAGCAGGTCTCACTTGTAAATGAGTCTTCGAGGCTCAATGTGATTTATCTGTCTACATAAAGGTTGAATGAATAGTCCACGAAACGGACACAGAGCTCTTAGGAACCACCTTCCTCTGCAGTGACCGTCACCGTGCAGGTTTCTTCCTGCCAGAGTCTCCACTCGTCCCTGCATCAGAAGTTTGACCACAAATCTATCATGAAGAGAGCACCACACTTTCAGCAGACTCCTCCCTGCACAACGTCTGCAGGATCTCCACCCAGGAGCTTTTGTTCAATTGACTAATTTAGTGTGTTTGAAGAGTCGTACAGATGAACGCCCGAGTGCTTTGACGATCACGCCCACAAACTCCTGACCAATCACACAATACATGGCATATACTCCAGTGAGGAAAGGTTCATCCTTGTGTCGAGAAGGGGCATGCAAAGCTGCTCTGAGAACAAAATGATGTGATTTTTGCAGGTTTGGATGGAGTATGCAGGGCCCTTTAGTTTCACACACACACATTTTCAAATTTGTCTGTTTTGTTGAATAAGTAACAGCACGGTGGAATCTGTTGAGTGTTTTTGTACTCTTTAGCTTAGATGTGAATAACTTTAGAACCTGGTAGAAACCAAACCACTTGTAATATTTCTTGATGTGTAAAAATCTATGAAAACGGTGGACTTTCCTTTTTCTTTCACCAGAAATCTTTCATCATGTTGTATGAAATCTCAAATTATCATCCAAATATCTCAGAAGTCACAATGAAAAGTCAGTTAATGGGTTCTCATTATTGGTGCCTTCAGTGATCTTTGTTTTCTACTTCCAAATTTAAGTTTTGGAATTGGTTTGATAGATTTCAAACATTTAACTTTATTACTAATAAGGTATTCTGCATGTTGTTTTTTATAACTAAGCAACTTTTTGAGGTGGTAGTCTCCTAATTCTAGCTGGAGAATCTTACCTGTCCGCCGGCCTGCCCTGAGCCATCAGCGCAGACAAACTGCACAAATTCCTTCAGGGGATCCTGTCCAGGGTGGTGGTGGTAGCGGATGGTTGGGTGGGTGAAGTAGGGGCTAGACTGCTGGATGATGGAGGGAGACGGGAAGGGCAGAGCCGAGGCTGAAGCACGGGGGCTTCCTGCAAGAACAAATATTTGTATTAGTTCAGCGAAAACAGAAAAAGGAAAAAACAGAGTTCCTCAAGACGGGACAGATGATCTGACATTAGAGACAAGTGAATGACAGCAACAAGAAGGCAAATGGACAAGATATTCTTCCACATGAAACGCTTTTGAGGGCTTCGCTTATGGAGTTGAATCAACCCCTGACACACATTCAGAAAGACATCTACTGGAAATAAAATTAGTACTTGTGTAAACTCAGGTCCAACTACACTACTGGTAGTTATTTTTTTCCTAGACTGAAAAAAATATATATAAATACATGTTTTTATTCAGACAAAAAGGCCTTATTTTAGCAATGCTTTAATGCTGAAATACCCATGCTCTACCAGTAGATGGCAATAATGTTGACTTTAAATACCAAATAAAAACGTGAAAATGACTAGTCTCTCGAAAAAATTGAAATTAAATGTTTTTTTTCTTTGACGTTGTTCACTTGATCTCACTTCTAAACCTTTTCTGTAGTTGATTGAATTTTATTGGTCACAGGATCAGGATAAAGTGAACCAGACAAAGAAAACGTTTAGCTAGTTAAGCAGCTAATTAAGCAGTATCACTCAGCCCTCTGTGAATAACAAGCGGCCATCAGGGTACTAACGATCAATCGTTAGGCTGACGGTCCTTTTACATGTGAACAGCTAGTTCTGGATATCACACCAAACTGGTTGATCCAATAAGAGAAAGTGTTATTTATAAGACTGTGTTTGTTGCAGCTCCTCAGGCTGAAGAAGTCTTTTGGATAAAAGATGAAACGTTTCAACAAGAAGAATCTGTCCAGAGGACCTGACTTAACGTTGTTAGATTTAGGTAGTTTAGTTGCTCAGTTTGTCAAGTCTACCTTAGATTCTTAGACTTTTAAAACAATGTTTTTAAAAGTCTTTGCTTTGGCAACCATTTTTAAAAATCTTGATCGTCTGATGTTAGCCTGTGAGTAAAATGCACCATCAGTGTAGAATAACACATGGCACAATGTGCACCATCTTAAGATGTTGGGAACTGAAGCTTTAGGATCTGGTTTAGAAGAGCCGTCGTAGTTTATTGTTGGAACGAGAGTCGGTGCATGAAGAAAGGTAACTGGTAACATTCTGGCTTACTTCCAAGCAGGGGTGCCTTCATAAAATTTTAAAGGGGTGGCTAGATAAGGGCCACTGATAATCTTGGGGTGGCACACCAAAACCCAAAGCCATTAAAGAAGTTATGGAGATACATTATGCTGTTGTCAAATATGAATGAAAAATACAGCACTTGTTCCTAAAACTGTTCCAGAGGGGAATAATTGATCACCTTACACTACTAATTAATATTTCTGTTCAACATAAACTGGTGAGTCTTTTAAGGATATATCTGCCTAAAAGAACCTTGAGACAGTGATCCACGCCTTCATAACATCTAGGCTTGATTACTGCAATTCACTTCTGTTTGGAATCAGTCAGTCCTCCATTGCTCGTCTACAACTGGTCCAAAATGCTGCAGCCCGATTTTTAACTGGTACAGGCTATAGAGAGCACATCACGCCAGTTTTGGCCTCCCTGCACTGGCTACCCATTCACCTTCGGATCCATTTCAAAATTCTCATGTATGTTTTTAAATCACTGAACAGTTCCGCCCCATCCTATCTCACTGATCTTCTGCAGCCATATGTCCCACCGCGCTCTCTGAGGTCAGCAGACCAGATGCTTCTCTCAGTCCCAGAAACCCGTCGTAAGCTCAGAGGTGACAGGGCTTTCTCTGTTGCAGGTCCACGACTGTGGAATGAGTTGCCACTGAGTGTCCGGCAGGCTCCCACACTCTCAGTCTTTAAGTCTCGCTTGAAGACCCACATCTATTCGCTTGCCTTTAACACGGTGTGATTTGTTTTGGCCCGGTCTGTTCTCTACTCTGTTGGCCATTTTAGTTAGCTTCTGCTGCTATTTGTATCTGTATTTCTATTTTATGTTTTCCTGTCTGCTGTGCATGTTTGTGTTCTTTAGTACAGCACTTTGGTTGGCCTTGTTGCTGTTTTAAGTGCTATATAAATAAATTGGTATGGTATGGTATGGTATGGTATGGTATGGTATGGTATGGTAAAATGCAAATATCAGATTTAAATTACTTTTTGAAAATCTCTTAGCTCCCTAAGGACCTTTATCCATCCATTCATCCATTATCTTTACCCGTTTATTCCATTTTGGGTCACAGGGGTCGCTGGTGCCCATGTCCAGCAATCACTGTGCGAGGGGCGGGGTACACCCTGGACGGGTCGCAAGTCCATCACAGGGCCACATAGAGACAAACAACCATTCACTCTCTCACTCACACCTAGGGACAATTTAGAGTTACCAATCAGTCTAACATGCATGTTTTTGGTCTGTGGGAGGAAACTGGAGTACCTGGAGAAAACCCACGCATGCACGGAGAGAACATGCAAACTCCACCCAGAAGGCCCCTGGACCGGGGTTTGAACCAGGGACCTGTTCGCTGAGAGGCAGCAGCTCTACCAGTTGCGCCACCGTGCTGCCTCCCTAAGGACCTTTAGTTTTTGAAAATACATTTTTTTTAAACAACCGTTTTATTAAGGGATGCACGATATTATCGCATGGTATCGGTATCGGCAGATATTGGCATTAAAGCTCGATATCGGACATCGGCCATTCCATTAAAATAAATAACCGATATAAAAGGCACTGTTTTTGTAAGACAACCCAGTGACAAGGATGCCTGCAGCGAAAGCACAACACGGTGACGTCACACGCGCTTACCTGATCTGATCATGGAGGAAAATTCAAAATGTCGGCGGTGTTGAAGTTTTATTTTTCGTTGGTGAGGATGTCGGATTCTGAAGATTTTTGGACTACGTTGAGCCTCGCTACATCGTCCCCAGTCGGAGATATTTTTTCCAATGTAGCCTTACCCAAGTTACAAGCCATCATTTCTGATGTCACTGAGAAGCTAATATCTGATAGCACGACTTGTTGGGTGAGCTTTACCACAGACATTTGGACGTCGTGTTAGCCCCGTTAGCATGATTAGTCTTACGACACAATGGACAGACAAAAACTTTGAACTTCAAAAGTGTGTCCTTCATGCACAGGAGTGCAGAGGATCCCACACTGCAGCTATAGGAACCTGGAACAAACCTCCACAAGTGAGACAGCATCGCAGGTGACTAATGCTAATAAATAACATCTAACACTTTTCATTTAATATAAATTAAAGTGCTCTGCATATCATATGGCTGTTACTGAATATGTCACCAGCTCTTACAGCTGTTGCACCATTTTTGTAGAAAATAAGCCTAAATAAGAGGAATATGTTCTGACAAAGGAATGTATATAAAGTGTATCGTTATTGTTTATCGGCCAAATAAGTTTCAACATATCAGATATTGTCCAAAAATCCAATATTGTGCATCCCTAGTTTTATTATAGCAATATTTGACAAAGGGAGCACTTTCCTCCATTAGTACACCCAAAAGGAATTTTTGACATTGAAAATAATAAAAAATGCAATTATATATATATATATATATATATATATATATATATATAAAAATAAAGCAGTTTTCTACCCCCACCCATCAGATCAAACTGGCAGAGGCCCTGTCATCAGTCAAGTTCACGCATGTCGACTTCAGTCGGACACAGAGCGTTTTCTAAAAATTGTTTAACTGTTTACTCATCGTCTGACGTGATAAGAAAGTTTACTTTCTTGAGACAACAAGTTCATATATTAAAAATGTGTAGAAATGAGAACAATTATTTCAGCAACTGATTCAAGCTGAAAGTGTCACTTCAAGAAACATCCACTAAAGATCAATATCCTGATGCATGCTCAATAATCCAGGTAGAAAAATCCAAAAAAGTTCAATCTGGTCCTCTGGACATTAAAAATAAACAAAAAACAACTTTTTTTTGCTTCGTTTTGTTTTTTGTTTATTTTGAATGTCCAGAAGACCAGATTGAACTTTTCTGGACTAAAGATCAATGCACTACAGTTACAGATTGATATAATTAACTAAGAGATGATCAAATAAAAAATAATAACAGCAGATACGGTTGTTTGTCTATAAGGTGTAAATATCTCAGAGAAAGTTCAGTTTGCAAAATATCTGTTTGTGCACACGGTCTCAAAGACAACAATTAAAGTCAAGACACGTAGGACTCCCAGCGTTGCCGTCTTAGAGACTTTGTCGCTAGCTTTAGCTAATTTTCTGATCCCTTTAGTGACCGTTTTAAAAAAATCAACTAGCGACAAATCTAGCGACTTTTTCCGGTATGTTTGGAGACTCTTAGAGGCTGATCGTGACGGCACTAATCACTGAGCGGTCACTGTTCTCGGCGAAAGCGAGTACTGCCGTAAGCCCCGCCCCCTCCCTCACTGTGGCCTCGTGCAGTCAGAGCCACTGCACGTCCATACTGCAGAGGAACCACGCATGCACAGAGATCACTTTCACCGGACAAGTTTTTTTAATTTGAAGAAGAAGAAGAAGAAAAACAATCCAAGTATCTGTGCCCGAGTGTCTCTTTTAACGTCACTGCCAGTTCCAGGCCAGGATAAGAGTTTGATGTGGAGCATCTCCAGTTCACACAACAGTGGTTGTTTGTTTGTTTGTTCAACCATCAGGGACCACGTGTAGAACATCACATAATCTCTAATCTAGTGCACATGCACTGTTCTAAATTCTAGTGTTCTACCTAATTTTCATCTGCAATGCCAACAAATAAATTTAAATGTTAATTTAGATTTTGTAACATGAAATTGTACAGTAGAAGAAAAAACTGATTTAAGACAGGGGACCCCAACACTGGGCCAGGGACCAGTACTGGGACTTGGGTCATTTGGTACCCAACTGCAAAGAACGAAAATATATATATTTAAAAATATTTTTTCTATTTCCGTTAGGATGCATGGCGTTTTATTTTGAAAAGTGCACGCAACTTTAGTGTTTGCTTGACTCAGTCGCAGTTTTTTTAAATTT